TCTCACTGGAATCGTCGCATTGTAAATAGTTGGCCCTATAACTCCTACAAGAGCGGGAACAACCGTAGAAGGAAGACTTGAAAAGTGAACCTTTCAGTCTTACACACGCATTTACCTACTGTTTCACATAATAGTAAAGAGGGTTCTTCTGTTGTTGCGAAATATCTATTCCTCTTCTTATGTTTTTCGTAAGCCTTAAGTATTGCGGTAAATGTGACGCATAGTAACAGATAAAACTTTCCTCAGAATTGAATCGTTAGTATTTCAGCGACAATCGGTTTTTGGCGGCCTCATTTGAGTTATCAACTGTGAGCCAGCCACTGTAACGGTGACAGTACAGCTACAGACGGACACGCCCTAGAGAAAGTGAAGGCGTACACACGCGCTGGGGTCTAAGAACCTCAGCAGGGGACACTGATGCACACAACACGCCCAAAGAGGCAGCCTGTGGCAACTGTTTGCTGGGTCTTCTGTATGCTACGGATCTCAAGTTCTTCATGCCTTTTGCCTTCCTGCACGGCCCTTCATTATTAATTTATTTGATCGCGTGTCGTATTTTAATGTCATCTACAAACATGACTCCCCTGCAATCCAGTCCTGTCATGCAGTCGCTGAAATAGATGAAGAACATCAGGGCTCCAAGAATGAAGCTCCAAGAGACCTTACTGGCAACTAGCTCTAATACCGATTTCGCACTGCCTAGGCACACCGAGTGTATTCGGTCGATCTTGAAGTCCTCTGTTCGTTTCGGTAGGCTTCCCTGCGTCTCAAATACTCTAGGCTTGTAATGTAAGCGACGATGTGGATCACAAGCGAAAGCACTTTTGCAATTGATGAGAAAACGCTGGCTATTGTGTCCACTAACTCATGGGATCGATTTTGCACTGAATAGAATGCACTGACTTCGTCAAAAACCGTGTTGAACACCTTTGAGCGTGTCGTTCACTTCAAGGAAATTCATGGTATATTCTCTGCTGTTTGGTTCCACAACTTTGAGACGAATGCATATCAACGAATTACGCGAGCCTGGTAGTCATCTGGTGGATTCTAGGTGAATTACTTAGGAAATCCTGCTTGGGCAGTCAACTTACTGTATCAGATTTGGTGGATTCCAGACTTTGCAGTAGGTTGGGCGGATAAAATTGACCCAAATGTGATTAAACTCGCATCGTCCAGCGGGGCCTCGTAGCTCAGGTGGTTAGAGCGT